AGTCTCAGGCCTCAGGAGGTTGCAAGACACATCCTCACCATCCCAGTGTGCTCTTTGTTCATTTAAATAGATCCATAGTCTAGGTTCCAAATGGACTTTCTGACCCCCACTGCCCCTTCCCACATCTGTATCATAGCATGCCTGCCTCCATACTCCAAGTCAACATGGGGAGCAATGCACTGAGTTAAGGGACCATGGCAACTTTACCAGTGAGATTAGAGGAGGAACTATTCCATAGGTATGAGTTAAGATTCTCCACCAAGGAGGAAAAAGAAAGTAAGCCAGAGGCTGGGCAGTAAGGCTGAGCCTGGGGCTTGTGGGCCCCTGGAGACATCTATGGTGAGCAATAGCAGGGGGCCTTTGGCCCAGAGCTTGCCCTGGAGGCTTGGTGGGGCAGAAGGGACAGGTAGGAGGTAGGTGACCACTGGGCCCTAATTGTGATAAAGAAGGAACAAAGTAGAATGTGACCAATGCCACCCTTACAGCCTCCCCTGTACCACAAGAGCATCTGTGGCTTGGATACAGGGTCACAAAGGGCCAGACCTCCTGGGTATAGCCTGGGCCCAGGACAGTAAGAGATGGTACCAAGCAGTATGATATGTGGATGATTTTCTGGGCCCTGCCATTCTCCAGACAGAACATGGCCAGCCCAAGGCTTATAGATGACAAAAACAAGTCCAGGGTGGGGGTTCAGTCTTTAAAGTGCTTGCACACAAACAGGAGGACTCTAGTTCAGATCCCTGGCCCTTGAGTAACAGCTGGGCTCTATGGCACTGGGGAGGTAGAGACTCCCTGGAACTTATAGTCACCCTAGCCAAATGGATGAGTTCCACATTCAGTGGAGACCCTGTCTTAAAAATCAATGTGGAAAGCAATTAAGAAAGACACTTGAGTAAGTTGTCTTTAAAGGTGTGGGTGGTGCACACTTTTAATCCCAGCACTTGGGAGGCAGAGGCAGGTAAATCTGAGTTGGAGGACAGCCTGGTCTACAGAGTTAGTTCTAGGACGGTCTGGGCTACACAGAGAACCCTGTCTCAATGAGGTTCACCTCTGGCCTTCACATTCATGTGTACTCATGTGTACATACCTACATGTGCACATACCCACATGAATATGGACATATACACACATGTAAAGGAGGGTGTAGGCTTGGGAAACCTTCTTGCCTACACTGGGACCTGGGCCTCACCCACTATCTCCCTGTGCAGACAATGGAGGTGAACAGCAGTAGCCGGGTTCGAGACCTGTGTGAGGGCATTGCCACTAGGCTGAAGCTGGCCTCCTTGGATGGCTGTAGTCTCTTCATCAAGATCACAGACAAGGTGAGCAACTTGCTAGGCCAAGGAGTAGAGCAAGATCCTCTTGCCTGAGGAGGCCTCCCATGACCAGTAGACCTCAACTTACTGAGAACACTGTGCTAGCCAGGCCCTTCAGTGCACAGGTGGGCC